AATTAAAAATTAAGTTTTGATATATTTACAGTAGGAAATTTACAAAATATCTTCATGGAACATGATCTTTACTTAATATCCTAATGATTTTTGGCATAAAAGAAAAATCGATAATTTTGACCCATACAATGTTGGCTATTGCTACAAATATACCCCAGCGACTTAAGACTGATTTTGTGCTCCAGGGTCACAAATATGTAACTATATTGTTATATCATTTATAATGTAAGGTAACAGATTTAGGATGATTTGGGAATATTGTGTTGAAATGTTTCTGAAACGTTGAAATGTCCAGTTTTCTTGTCGTGTTATTTACACCAGTTAATATAAATATATATTTTAATAAAAATAAATAATATCACAGGATTAATGAAAAATGTAGTTGCACTGTTGCTGCTTTTATTTAGTAATTCAAAAATGCTGATTGATTACAACACATGAACTTTACTCCAGATTTTTCAGAGATGTAATTAATCAGAAATTAACAGCATTTGACTGATTTTTGAATCTCAGATTCCAATTTGTTTTTTCATTCTTCCAGATAATTTCTTCAAAGTGGAGGGAGCCAAGGATGCCTTAATATGTGGGAACGCAAGTGATGCTGGGTGAGTTTAATGCACTTTATGACTGGATTGTGGTACACAATTTTGTCGAATTGGTAGCTACGATCATATTCTGGGCTCGTCTATAGGATGCATATTCAATGAGCTGTATCCTGAATTTGACCGTCTAAATACATTAAGCATTTATTTAGTACATTCTCGCTGTTTTTAGTGATTGCAAAACTCCAGCAGGTATTGTATATGGATCGCAAGAGCCCAAAACTTGCTTGTTCTCACATCTTTGATGCAATTCTTCTGATGGTTGATCTAAATATTTGTGGTTTGAAACGTGGAAAATTGTGACTGAAAATTCTGAATAGAATGTGTGGTCGTTACTGTATTTTACCTTCAAATGTGGCTCATCCAATCAGAATTTAGGGGCGGAGTTATGCATGCTATAAAAGGTAATGACTTCTACATTTGGAGGCCGTCCATGTGCTGCAGCTGCTGTAAGAGCAGTGAGTGTCTGATTCAGCAGAGCTGCATGTACTGTATGAGTCAGTGGCCTTGACTAACTCACAGCAACAAGACAGATGCCAATCAAGCCCTCGAATCGAGAGGAACGTGTCTGCGTGAACTGCTGTGAACTGCACATCTCCGAGTCTTTCATTATATTAAGACAAACAAAAAAAAAATCTATTTATCAGTGTTTTTTTTATCAGTACGATAATGGATAACGCCATCTGTTTTAATCTAATGGAGTTCAGCAAACAAGACAATTAACAAACAAGACAAGTCAATAAAAAAAATTTTTTATATTTTTTTTCTACCAGGAATTAATTAGATAATAAATAAATAAATAAATAAATAAATGCATTTTATCTACCAGAAACTAACTGGATAAATAAATAAATAAATAAATAAATAAATAATTGCATTTTATCTACCAGAACCTAACTGGATAAATAAATAAACAAACAAATAAATAAATAAACAAATAAATAAATAAATAAATAATTGCATTTTATCTACCAGAAACTAATTGGATAAAAATAATTAAATAAAGAAATAAATAAATAAATAAATAAATAAATAAACAATTGCATTTTATCTGCCAGAAACTAATTGGATAAAAATAAATAAATAAATTTAAAATACCAGGATGGATTCATTTAATCAACGGGATTATTATAGTAAAATTAAAACTAAAACCATAAAAATTACTTGTTACTTGAAAAAAAAAATACTGATAAAATAAAGTAAAAAAAAAATCAATTATGAAATAAAATTAAAAATTAAAAAATTAAACATTTTATTTCAGCTATTTTCCAAGGCAACATTTATCATTTTCATTTAGTTTAACTTGATGTACTAAAATAACTTAAACTAAAACTGGAAAAAAAAAACATATAGACATATTAAAATAAAACACAAAAACTAATAAAAATGACAAAAACACAACAACATTTTAAAGACTTTGACTAAAATTAAAACGACAACAAAAATAAAAATCTATTAAAAACATTAATAAAAAATATAATAGTATCTAAAAATAACTACTAAAATAATACAACTAAAATACTAAAATAGTTGGTTTAAACGTTGTTTCTGAAATGACAAATAATACAGATTATTATAATAATAGCATCACAAATAATAACATGCTTTTCTAATAACTTACGACTGAAGACAAAAGGTGTTTTTCTCTGGAATAACGTGTATTTATGAATCATGTACCGTAAGAGAAACATAAATATATAATTTAGTTTTAATTGAATGATGACTAAGTACATAAAAAGGATGATGAAGGGTTTACTTTGAAACAGTTTTCACCAATAATTACAGAGAAATTAATTGAATTAAACGCGGAACACCAAAAATAATTTTTACAGAATAGTTGAAATGTTCATCAGGTGAAGTTTAGTCTATAAATGATCAGCATGATTTCTGTTAAACCTGTTATGCAATCTGCTGCATGCCTTCTGTCGTCTGATTGATAGTTTAGAGTTTTTAGCAAGTAAAAGGTCTTCAGCTGGAGCTTCACGTGTCAAATCTTGACTGATTTTGATCAAGTAAGCATCAGAATAACTGCAGTAATATCTCCAGATGAACACTTACTGGACTGAAGCAGCTCAGCTTTACTTGATTCTCCATCAATCATGTTTTAGAGTCTCAAATCTGATCCTCAGGATCTTTTGAGGAGCGTTTGTTTCCAGAAGCTTTACTTTCACTGTTCCTCAGCGGAGGAATGATCTTCACAAGCCTCCAGAACATCTCACATCTTCTGAGGAGCCTTTATTTCTTCAGCTCTCAATCACTGCATTATATGTTTGGAGCATTTCAGTCTCATCTCACTGAGACAGATTATCTGAGATATAGAGTGACGACTGATATTTATATCATTTTATGTAAGTATCTGCTGTACTGTTATAAAGATCTCATTGACTCACATTACAAGCAGCAGAATATCATCTTAGCGTTTGGCGATATAAATATCAGCATCTGCACCAAATTGCTTATGTTTGTAGTTTCGGTCTCTGAATCAAATCGAGCTTTTCCTCCATATTCTCATTATATCAGACTATATATATATATATATATATATATACTGTATATATGATTAAAGCCTGACACTTCTGACACTTAATGACACACCTGACTAACACACTAAATATGGTAGTTGCTTTCTTTTTGTAAATGTAAAATGTTTAAAAATATTTCCTCTAAAGGTTCAGTAAACTGTCTTAATAAATAACTGACTGCTATTTTATATGTCAGGCTTTACAGGGTTAAACGGCACCAATAATAAACAAAAACAACAACAACAACTAAAAGTATAATACCCATAATGTTACCAAAAAATACCAAAAAATCTATTTGTTTTGAATATATATTATTAAAGGTTAAACCAGTAATAATAATAAAAAAAATTATAATAATTGTTTTTTTTATACATTTATAAAAAAAATAAAATAAAATAAAATATATATATATATATATATATATATATATAAAGTGTAAGGTTTAAATAAAATGTTTTATCTAAAAAATTTAGATTTTTTTATTTTGACAATTATGTGATATGTCAGGCTTTATATAGGGTTAAACACCAATAATAATATATATTCAAATCAAATAGATTTTTTGAATTTGATTTCATGTCAGCCTTTATCAGATTAAGCATCACTAATAATTAAAATAAAATTAAAATAATTAAAAAGATAATAACGATAATGTTTTATTCTAAAGATGATTTTGTCTTTACACATCATACTAAAAAATGTTGTTTTGTTCCATTTAAATTTGAGAGAAAGCAAGAATAAAAAATCAGCAGACTTTAATGGATTTCATGAGAAATCACGATCCCTGTGCTGCGTCTAGGATTTCACTCCACGCTCGCCGTCGGTGCGATATGATGTTTTTTGGAGATTTCTGCAGCATGTTCAGTCTAAGCGTCTGGAAAGTTAGTCCTCCGTCTCCGGCAGCTGCTCTCGCTCTGTGCTGAGAATCAAATGGATAAAATATTATCTTAAAAGCGACTGCTAATCGATAACGTGATATTTCAAAATCCAGAGCATTTTTGCAGTGGAATATATTGAACATGTAATGGAAAGTGCAGGACACTCCGGCTGAGTTATGTGAAGGTCTCTCTGCGTAATGAGCCGTTGGTGTGAATTACGACGAGGCCTGTAGATGTTGATTGTAACATCTGGCCGAAGCCAGAAACAGACAAAGGACGAATCCGTCTGTCTTCCGCCATGATAACAGACGCGTGTCCACCTCTGATAAAACAGCGCTCGGAGACGAAGACGGAGACGAGCGTTTGTCTAGTGTGTGCCTGTTAAACGCATTCAGTTTATTCAGCGCTTTACGAGGGTCAGGGCTTCCCAAAACAGAAGCTCCTGAAGATGCATCAGTGTTAGGAAGCTGCTTTGAAACAGTTAAAATACTACACAGCTAACTGGGAATGTTCTCAGAACGTTCCGGCAAGGTTCTGTCAACATTACGAACAAACGTTCTTTCAGAAACGTTAATAGACTGTTTGTTCAAAGTTATCTGGTATTTAACAATGTTATCAAAACGTTATTTATACATCATTCATGGAACGTTTTTGTTCATGGAACGTTCGTCTAACGTTTTTTAAATGTTACTTTTTGTTTCAGAACGTTCAGAGAACATTCAAAAGTAACATTCCCATAA